GGAGAAGGCGCGAACAATGAATTGAATGGACTGGAGTTGACCGGATGGCATGGCTCGGCCATGCAGGCATGGTCCATCTGAATGTTACGTTATATCTTCTATTCATATTAAATATATTGTTCCTTCTCTAACCTAACCTTGTTCTACATCATGTATTGGTAATTGATACGATACAGTGAGTTGGTGTAGTCGATGGTGTGACTTCCACGTAAGATCTTATAGATTAGGCAGTTATATCATGACAAATCTACAAATTTAGGATTAGGTCTATTATTAGAGCAGTACTAATATCATAGTAGACCGTAATTCTACAGATTCACCAATTCTGTTTCCTAAAACATTCACCCTATACTCAGTTTCATGAACGAACTCAAAAATATGAAAGATGGTTCATGTGGCCCCCATACACAAAGTAGGATCAAAAAGCAGGATTCTAAAACGAATAAGTCGTTTTGGTACTCTATGGTATAAACGAATGCCAACTGTAGCTGATTTGGAGGCGATCATCAAAATCCTTACAGCATTGTGAACTAAAGCTGCCACAGAAACTCAGGGTTTCACCGTCCATCCGTTCATAGAAACTTTCAGAGTTATGTCACTCAGGTAGCCTACTAGGCACGTATTGTATACAGGTAAAAATAACCAGTGTAGCATCAGGCTATGCAGAAGTAGGCCACAACAAGCAGAAGGGAGAAAGCAAGATACTCAAATATAACACGGAGAACACTAACTCAATCACACTTGGTGGGAAAACTTTGGAAGAGGTGGAAACTTTCACGTATCTGGCTAGCATAATCGATGAACAAGGAGGATACGAAAGGACTGAAAAAGTAAGGGTAGCATTGCTACAGTTGAAGAACATATGTGACTCATAAGAACTATCAACCAACATCAATGCCAGATTCTTCAATGTCAACGCGAAAATAGTTCTACTGTGAGGATCTGAAACCTCGAGAACTACCACAACCATTATCGAAAGAGTACAGGCACTTACAAACGGTTGTCTATGTGAGAAACTCGATATCTGTTGGCTGGATACCATCAACAACGACCTACTGTGGGAGAGAAAAAACTACCTTCCAGCTGAAGAGGAAATTAGGAAAAGATTATTGGGGTGGCCGGGGCACGAATTTCAGAAATCATCAAACTGAATCATAAGGTAAGCTTTAATTTTAAATCAAAAAGGCACTAGGAAGGGAAAAAGATCGAAGGGCGCGTCGCGTGGCAAGTTGGAGGTTGACATCAAAGAATTAATAGCACTTGACGAGGATTGTAAACGAGGTCCTGGACTGCATTGTTTAGAATATCCTGGTCGGTGGCTTGTGCTCCTTCAGGAGGGTTGATGGGCGTCAGTGAGAAAGTCAATTAGTGCTAGCTTGTCATCCTAGCTATTAGATTTGCTCCGAAGTTTAATACCAGCTAAAACAACGTCACGTAAGATAGTTGCTGAGAAAGAATATCTAAGTAAACTAAAAAATGGCAAAGGTTTTGTACCGAGATCTGAAAGTCGATGATCTGAGGTGGTTGGCAGTTTGGTCTGAACTTGGATAGTCTGTTATTCGTAACACAGAAATAACCCTTCCTCAAACCTTGATGTTTGTGGTGATAAGAATTTTGCAGATATCAGATGGTCATGGAACCATTCGTATATCAGAGATTCCCCACCCCTTTTGACGATCGAAAGAAGAGTTATTGGCCGGTAGTTTGAGTCAGATACTTTCGATGGCTGGAGTCATACATGTTATCTTTCACTTCTTTGATACAATGCTTTGTTTTCCGATACGTGGGAGTAGTAAACCAGGTGACGGTCTTAGAGTCAAAAGAGGCATATACGGTCCCGTAGATGTGTTCTTCAGCTACCGTGGTTGAAGGACATTTCTGCAGGTGGGTTCATTTTTGGGACCCTGAAGTAGACGTTATTAATCATGCAGATTGTGGACAGTGGTTAAAGTATTTGGAAGTCACATCAAAAACACTGTGGCACCATGCTTGTTGGCTAGGTCATAAGAACCCGATAACGGATAGACCTATGATTAGGCTTGTCGGAATGATGTCACATGACGAAATGAGCCTTTCAGAATGACGGCACATCCGTTGATCGGGCTTATCTGGTACTGGTTTTTACCTTTCCTTAGGGTCCATCACTTGTCTTAGCTATCTACATACGTTTTTCTCAGTGATACTGTCGTTTTATTTACGGTAGTTTCTTTTTAGCTTCAGCGTTTGAAGGGTGTTATTTAATGTTCTCTTCGGTTGTTCCTACATTTTGGCGACTATTTTCAGGAAAAAACTGGTTCATAACATGTAAGGTGCAGTGAAAGTTCCCAATGAACATTCATCCAGGTCTCCTTAGTCCCTCTACTATAAACTGTCTTTCAAAACTGACTCATTTAAAGATCCGAGACTCTAAACATTGTTGTGCGCAGGATACTTTAGTTTGATCATTTTATTCTAAGGGAGGTATAATTGGGATGTTAATACCTTTGAACTCTGCCTCAGTAAAGACCCCGTTTAAATGAGAGCATTTCTCGAATTTCTCTGTATAACTGCTGAGTCGACTTCTTAGAAATCTCCCTTATTATTTGTGAGCCCTGTGAGGTTCATTTTCGGATGATGAGAGCCTCCAAATATTACAACTTGCGTCTTGGGAGAGCGAAACGGTTAGACCTTTCCGGACCCTGGTTGTTGTCCCTGATATCATCAATGGGCTATCCACAGGTAACCACAACAAAATACCTTGAGATACCAAGCAATCTTATTGATCAACAGATTTCAGTATCAGTTAGGAAAGGAGAGGAGGCTTGATGACCTGTGTTAGTCCTGGAAAGGATGATCTATAGGTCGATCCAACTTTTGTTTGAAAGCGTTGATAGATGGGGCTTCAATCACATGTGGAGTTAATGAATTTCACTCATTGATAATTCGATAGGAAAGTTGATAGTCAGCTGACAAGTAATTTGTTCTGGACTTGTGAACTCTTCGGGATGTCCTCGTAAATCCTCTGTTTTGGAAGGTAAAAAAATGGGAACATATCGTGTGTAAATTTATCACTGAGTTATTGGAAAACAGCAATTAAGGCACCTCTAGTTCTTCGATATGACAACGGGTATAGGTTTAGTTTAGCCAGTCGAGCGAAATACAGGAGCTTCGCTATCCCAAGAATCAGCTTAGTTGCTGTTCTCTGAACATTTTCCAAAAGCTCACTGTCTTTTTTTAGCAGGAGCTAGCCGCTTGTACCCAGCGTTCAAATTTAGGACTCGTGAACGCTGTATACAAAGTCAAAAACGTTTCAGCGACGACATGGCTAAAGACCCTACGTACTGATCATGAAGTTCCAAAACATTTGGAGGCTATTGCACGGCAGTGTGTAGTAGTCTTTAAGTCTCAGCTAACACTGACTCCTAAGTCATTGTGTGTCCGGACGACAGGTAGCTCGGTGTTATTCATCGTGCGTGTATCTGTACCTTGATGACCGATATGCATCACGACACACTTGGAAGTATTTATTGGCAACTGCCAGGTTTTAGACCATTCGGATAATTTCTTCAGGTCATTTTTGAGTTCAACGTATAGTTTTCTATATCTTGACATCGTCAGCATATAGCAAGACCGATGATGATAGGAGACGAGGAGGGTCATTCACATACAAGAGGAATAACACTGGCCCCCAAACTGTACCCTGAGGCAATCTTCTAAGCACAGTTTCCCAGCCAGAAAAATCTGTGTTCACCCGTACTCTCTGTTGGCGCCCAACTGAGAGGTCTTATACACATCATTAGATTGTCTCCGATTCCGACATTTCTTAACTTATGTAACAGCCGGTTGTGCGGAACTTCGTCAAAAGATTTTCTGAAATCAACGAAGGCTACGTCTACAGGTAACTTTTGGTCCTTAGTAGGGCACCAGCTTTCATGAGCGACTAATAACTTAGTGAGACAAGAACAACCTATTCCGAAGCCGTGCTGCTTCTCCGAAAGGATCCGTTTTTCATCGAGGAACCTAAGCTGCTCCTTCCGAATAATCTATTCTCAAAGTTTAACATCAACGCTAGTTAGACTAACGGGTCTGTAATTCTCAGGTCTATGTTTCGTACCTGTTTTGAAGACAGGATTTACTATGGCGTTCTTCCAGTCATCTCGTGGTCGACCCTGGGTTACGGATAGATTTAAGCATATACTTGAAGGGTTTGCAACGAAGTTAGATAATTTCTTCAGTAGCCTAAGGTGCAGTTCATCGGGCACCGTGGATTTGCCTGTGTCAAGCTTATTTAGCAGATCAAAGATATCGAGTTCTTCAATGGTCACGCTGTCCAGTTTTTGTTTGGGGGATTGCTATGGCCTGATGGGAAGAATGTTTCCACGGTATATACTTGAGCTTTACCAAAGTCCTCCTCCACTAATGATGAAGCAGTACTGTCTCCCCATAGTGCAGGAATATTTGCTCTTCTTATTATCCTTTGGTTTATATATGAATACAAGCGTTTAGGACATTCTATGAATTCCTTGACAATTTTCTCTTCGCACAACCGTCTAGACCTACGGAGGGTCAAGGCACAGGCATTGCGAGCTTCCCAATATTAAGATTTTGTGTCGTCAGTCACCACTAACCTAAATCATACACACATTTTTCTTATCTTAAGAAGAAGGATGCGAACCTCCCTACTGAACCACGGTGGAGAGTTTCTCATCTCCCTTAGTGTAGTCCAAGAGATGTAAGGTGCAGTAAGGAAATGCGTCCTATGTCGTTTCAATTGAGGGTTCTGTTTCTACTGTCCAATCTACTGACGACGGTGAGTGTGTAATGTCTTGTATATCTGCTTCCCAGCCGTTAGGTCTGGACTGAGCTGACGCGTGCTCGTTTCTGACAATTATACGGAAGTAAAAGGCTTGAACCACATGATCTCTTCTAATAATATGTAACGAGTAGTCTGGTTACGTAATAGAAGGTCAAAACAATATAATATACTTAGCGAGGAAAAATTCCACTGTCGTTTTAAATAGCGCGCGTTGTGTGAAATTTTCATGGCATTATGTGGGCTCTTCCGTCAAACCAGAGCTAATTATTACAAGTTATCAATTGTTGTTTCCAACAAACATTTTATTATTTCTTTGAAAATTGAAAAAAATTAAGGATAACCTCCGACTGTTATTGGCTGACTAATCGCGCGTTCTCTGTAATCTCTTCGCCGGGATACCATTCAAAATTTCAAGGTTCTGTCGGTGGTACGACTTGTTAGTCCTTCTGAGTTGGTGTCTTACCTGTAAAGTGCTTTTTTTTACGATGGAGAGCATAATCGTTGGTTATAACTTTGATTAATCTTGAATGATAGCTTTTATTATTAAAAAAGAACAATATATTGGTGTATTTTAAAAGACGTAGCATCGTTGTGCATTGAGTGCACGCTGAACTTTTTTTAGATTAGAATTATTGCTGTTCCTTCTAGAAACAATTCCCACTTATCCTTAAGAAATTCTGTCAATTTTCATATTTCCTTCACCCCGTTTCCCATGCAGTGATACTATATTTTATTGAACAAACCAATGCAAATTTAAAGCACAATTTATTCATCCATATGATTACACAACATTTATGCATTATAGCTTGTGTTAGTTCGTGATGAAAACCCTTTTTAGTTCCTAACCCTAAGTTCTATCTTTAAATCCCCGTTTTCCCCCATACTCATTCATAACCCTCCTTTGACCCTAGTAAGTAAGTACGTTGTCTCAAGGTCGCTTCAGCGTCGCTGAAATGTCCATTAATTATAAAGCCACCTCCCATGCTACTAGGTGTAAACGTTATTGAGATGTTTTTGGCTCTAAAGTTCCTCAACGGTTTGGTATGGTTATTATGCAGAACAGTTGGTGAGCTGTGTAGGGTTCGCCCTCTAGCATTACGATGGATAATACTCAGTCCTCCGTTTTGCACCACCGTAGATTTCCAGTTTAGTGGTAGATCATATAGTCTATGTTTTTATTTTTTTCCATCTGAAACTGACTCGAAGGAAACCTCTAAAATACTAAAAAACCAGAACAAAATATTCTACGTTCTGATATATTTTTGTCAATAAATCACAAATCACTAGGAGTTAGTACTGCAGCACTTGCGATTGGCATGTCATTCTGATTCCTTCAAAATAATATTGGACCTTCGTAAGACCGCGAGTCTCAAGGATTACTATTGGTTACATGATTTATCTGTAATAAATGAATTTGTACACTCACATCCAGCATTCGGTTTGTCATACTTAATGCTCCATAACAATTAACACTAGTTTAGATAGGAGTTCACTGTTGGTTCTAAGTTCGTCGTGTTCCACTCTGGGGAGCTTAGATAGAAATTCGTTTGTGTCTTGACAGCAGTTTCTTGGGACTAAGGAGAAATTACCATTGGACTGATTTTAAAATAAAGGTCTTGTTGTGTGCAGTGGATTTACCATCTTGCCTCTTGTTTTTTAACATGTACTTACGAACACATGTTCATCCTTTGGAATGAGCAAGCCGGTAATGGTTGTGGCGAATTTATTACTTTGAATAAATGCGCAAATAGTTGGTGATCTTGGGTGTTTTCAAGAGTATACTCAGTCTCACTATGATTGCTGTTACATTTTTTCCTTTTCTTTACCACTCACCTTTTTTTAAATCAATCTGTTTGCGAAAATGTTGTAGGTGGACTTGAAATAACGCATATGTCCCAGGGTTTTTGTGTTTGTGCTTGTAAGTTGGGATCTTTGTAATCACATCTCGCTGTCATAGTTATTTTTTCGAACAGATGCACTTAGTGCCAACCTCATCCTTATTCATAGACACAAATGGAGATGATTGTATATTTTATGATTTGACCAATTCAGACAGAAACCACATTTATATCTTCGTTCGAGACTTCTAAAGAAATCCTTTTCTTGTTATGTTCAGAAAACACATTGTTATTGCTACTACTAGCGTAACCTATAATTTGTGGCATTTTTATTAGATTTCGTGATATAAATCTTTCTGTGGTTTCATTTTAGGTACTTCTGTTGACTTATCTATAGTAAGGTATCGATTATAATGGAAGCTTTCCTTACTGGATTCAAACAAAAGCCCCAAGATAGCAAACGACGCATAAAAAGTCAAAAACACATCCCTTGGGTTGAAAAATAGTTAGTTTTTCTCTATAAAAAGCTAATCGATGTAGTCGACCAAAAACAATAGATGAAGTAGCTTATCAAACAGAAGTTGTTAGCGTTCTTCAAAGGTGTATTGAAGGATCTGATGTACGTCTGTTTTGGTTTTTACATTTTCTGTTTAGTTGCCAAATTTACTGTTTTATGGACCACCAGGGACTGGAAAAACGTCTTTGATTTTGGCTTTAGCTCGTCAACTTTTTGGGTAAGATGTTTATTCACATTTCCGATAGGTTGAACCTAGTACTGAACATAGGACCTCCATGGTAGTAATTAGCCTGGTTCTTTATTTCGACATTATTACGCCTCATTATTTTGTTGAGATTAAAAGTTGTAACTAATATGGACATAATTGTTATTGCGGAGTGGTTAAAAGCTAACGCATTGAGTATGTTTTATTTAACTTTTGAGATTTCTAAGTTTATGCAATATTCTTGTTACTTTGCTAAATACCAAGTTCTTAAAACCATTTGTTTTATTTCGTTTTTAACTGTTTGGGAAAGTGATTGTGACAATTTTTCTATGATCCACGTAAACCAATAGTGACTGACCAGTTGTAGTCCTTAACATCAATAACTGGAAGATTCGAACACAAACGAAATAAAATTCATCGCCGTTGCACGGATCAATAGCTATCTGGACTCAGTGGTTAAGTGGATGATGCGTTGGGTTTTTAAAGTGAAAGGCACTGGGTTTGAGTTCCGGAGTAGACGCTAACGTGGATGCAGGCACATCCAACCGACATGTCACAAATAGGATCAGTCATACCTTATGGATTCAACTGCTAATCATTATCCAAACATTTGTTTTAGCTTTACATTGTTAACTGATATGCAATTATTAGTAGTTATCCAGACCAAATACTTCGTGTTGTATATCTACAGCATCGGGTTTATGAATCGTTTCCTACCAACCTAATGGTAAGAAAACTTTTTAAATTTCTCGTTAGCGATAGCAATATTAAGATGATAAGAACAAGAGTGATGCTAGTCAAATCACTTACTAGTTTCATTCTTTATGTTCTACCAAATTCTAATCTTCTGAATTCTTCATGTCCCTTCCTTTTTTCTCTTTCCAAATTTATTTCGCTGGATTATACTCTTTGAATAACATCTTCAAACCCTAGTCTATCCGATTACTGCTTATACTCTTACCGCCTCTATCACTACGGGATTTGAATCGACAACTGCATCTCTGTACTAATGTGGTATGGCAACTTTAACTGATGTACGTACGTACGAAGTTCTACGTTGTTACTGACTGACTGACTTCATCACATAGGTTGCTTACAAAGCGAAGATGTTCAGATCAAAATAATAAGCGACTACGGTCATAATTTACACGTAATATTGTCCTAAATGTTCGAGTTCTCTTATCTTTGTGTATTATTTAAGGGTATTAATAAACCAATTATCATGTTGTAAACAAATCACCTTATAATCGTCCAATCTAACTCCAATTTCGATGAACATGTAAGTATGCTATGAGCATAAATCTTCCATTTAACTCCGTATATATCTCTATATCACTGAGCCGATATTCAACGGTGTTCATGTCTAACTTCAATCGATTCATGATCTTGCACAACCGTTTTTTTCTTTTCGACATAATCGTATTTTCTCCAAGTCTCAAGTATTTTATCCTTTGTTTTCTCTGATGAACTATCTTCTTTTCTTTTCAAGCCCTTTGTATTCAGAACGTGTTTTAGAATTGAATGCGAGCGATGAACGTGGGATCAGTGTTATTCGAGAAAAAGTGAAGGCTTTTGCTCACATCGCTGTTAGTAGTAGTACTAATAGCTCTGGTTCAAGTTCAACTAATATACCACCATATAAATTAATAATCTTAGATGAAGCTGATTCTATGACAGCACCTGCACAAGTATATTTCCTTTTTTTCTGTGCGTATTTCAATTCTATATAATTGTATCATTTCCCTGTTTGTTTTCATTCTAGTTAGAAACAAACTAATTGATTGGTTAATACTCAATCAAAACAAATACATCGAATTAATGGATAATGTTTAACTGAGTTTGCAGGACCAATTTCGGTTATATAATAATGCATTTCGTACAAGCTTAAGAACGTGTAGCTACACGAACTTATGGGAAATTTACAAAAAAATTGACGAAATATCCTAATTTTAAGAGGTTAAATATGTATTAAAAATTATCAGACGATAACTTGGACCACCACTCAATATTTTAAATGGATCTTTCAGATATATTGCTTAAGGAAATACTATCTCTTACCGGGCTTTTGGTTTTATATCCGAAATGTTTGTAACGGTTTTCCAAAAAATATCTGTTGATGTATTATTTGGTTGTATTTCTAATTTTCTTATATTTTCAACTAGTCAATATCAGTCAGTCGTAATCCATGTAGGGTGTGTCACAGATTTGCTACAATTGAAGTTATAATAGTTCATTCTCTAATATGTGTATATGTGTATATTACATAACGCTTATCAGTTTATCTGTCCTCCAATTATTTAGGCTGCTCTACGTCGTACAATGGAGACTGAAATGAGAACTACACGATTTTGTTTAACTTGTAATTATGTTACACGAATTATTGAACCAATCACAAGTCGATGTGCAAAGTTTAGATTTCGTCCATTGGATAATGAAATTGCTCGTGCTCGTTTACGTCACATTGCAGATGCAGAAAATTTATCCATTACTAATGAGGTAGGTTGTGCTGAGAATTATATATTGTACCAAAATATAATGTTGAATAAAGCCATTAATAACATATATATATGCATATGCGCCACACAATAAAAATGAGGTTGTAGAGACAGGGAAAGTAAATTGAGTATAATAAGAAATAAGAATAACAATGAATATAAATTAGTGTATGGGAGAGAAATAATAATAATAATAGTAATAGTAATAATAGGAGAAAAGGCTCGGTTGGATTAAATACAAACAAAAAGAATTCTCTCAGTTAAAAAATTTACTCACTTTTGTGAATGAAGTTAAAGAAAGTTACAGCAGGATCACCACTGGCTCCTGTTCTGAACCATTTCTGACAAAGTCTCAACCCACTATATCGCACCGTCTCTAAGACTCCAACCAGGTAGTCGTGAAGGTCTAACTGAAGTCAGTCCTGTACAACTTCCTTTCATACCACGACACCATGTCATACACTGACCACCTCCGCTTTTTCCAGCCAGTCCCAATGTCGGCAAATGATGCGCGACGTGGCGTTCACTGGAAAATAAGACATGTCCAAGCCATTGAAGTCAATGTTTTAAGATAGTGACACCAATTGAATTATCATCATTGTGCCCGAACACACGATGCCGAACCTCTGCATTATTGATATGGTGTTGCCACTGGATATCAGCAATCCTTCGGAGACAACGAGGATCAAACATGGAGAATCGCTCGATGTCCTTAACTAGAAGAGGCCAAGTTTCACAAGCATGGAGTAAAACTCTTCTCACCGACGCGTTGCAGGCCCAACCTTTTACAACCAGATTAACATCATGAAGACACTAAAGATGGCCCAAATTGGCATAAGCCACTCTGGCCTTCACTATACGTGAATCAATCTCATCACTCACGCCACCACCGGCATTTGTGCAGCTACCCAGATACACGAAATTCTTGACTACTAACTGCCTACTACCAAGAGTAGGTGCAGATACATGTTTCTGTCAGTCTTATAGATGTACTTTGCACTTAGACCGTTCATAACACATGCTTTACCTACGGACACTGATTGCCAATGGATTAAGTGCGGACTGCACGATTTGAATACCACTGGACGGTAAGACAATATCACCCACACGCTCAAGGTTAAAAAGTATTTTCCAGTCAACAGATCCACACCAACATTACCTACATCCATCAGAGCTGTTCCCAGAACGTCATCAATGGCAAAGTTGGGGAGGAATGGTGAGATTGGACAACCCTGTCCTCTCAACTATCGAGAGATGTATAACCTGCTCCCCTTTCTGGATATATTAGTTGGTAGAAGAGGTGATGGTCCTATCAAATGTTCTTTATGTAGAAAGCCAACATGGACAAGAAGATTCCTTAGTTTCCATAGTCACCGTTAAGTCCAGCACAATCGTAGGGTTTATAAACGGTTTAGTTACTAGGATCAATCGTATTTACATTGAGGGGAAAGGAAATCTCTTGACCGAAACATTAATGAATATAGGTTAATCATTAAGGTTTATGTACCGATGGAAAAGGAACGTTATGATGAGACCTACTATACTTCTGGTACCCAAACAACTAATCAATATTACCGTACCATTCAGGCGCGAATCATATAGTCTTATGTTGAAATGAATACTTAAATTAACTACTAGTGAGACATTTTACACACCTCAACTCATTATTGAAAAGTTGAGATATTCTGGGGAAAGATTGTGTAACATTCTATTACGTCTATTAATTTACATGTATATGCGGAAACAGGGAGGAACGGTCGTGATCTTCAGGTATGGGTAGTTGGATTCATTTAAATGGTTACAGAAGCCAATGAACTTCGATGGTCATATATTATCACAGGATAAACAAATATCTTCCTCTATTGCAAAACATTTGATTAAGACAGGTTATGATTTTGATACTGAGGTTTATTGAAGCCTTGGATGTGTGCTCAAAAACATTTTGTTCTAAACCTTAGCCTACTCCCTATTAATACTGATTATCCAGTGTGGTTTTCACATTGTTTACTTTATTACTATCTTTATTTCCTCTTGCCTTCAAGTTTGTATAATTAATCTTTTATTTTTCCCTACGTACTATCTTAATAAGTATACGTGTGATCAGTTTACTCAAATATGTCACATAATTCTGATAACATTTGTTTTCTCATTGGTTTATCCAAATATATACTTCTTTACATTCGGTTTTTCTTAAATCATATCACCTATACTTAATATTCTTTACATATATTGACAATTTCACTACTTCTATTACTCTGGCATTTGTGTTAATAATTCCATTTCGCTGTGCTGATTCGGTGTAGCAACTCGAACTGAATTATATATGTTCCAGGTCCAACGTTCTGCTTGACTAGCTGACTAGATATCTACCCAGATAAATTAAGTCAATAGTTGTTCTCATACACTAAATTCCTTATCGTTTAACAATAAATTATATTTGTAAACAAAAGCGCCCTCATAAAATCCTACCCGATGAGTTCAAGAAATGTAGACAATCTCACATTCAGAACTGATTGTCTGCAAACATCGTTTGTATGCTAAATTTCTAACATTGTATATCTTGCGTAGACAATTGTTTATAAATACTTGTACCATTTTGATGATGGTTGTAATAGTTCTCCAGGTTTCAGCTCCGTACAGTAGGACTGTGTTGACGTTCGTATTGAAGATTGTGACTGATATTGGTTGACAGACAGTTGTTTTGAGTTCCATACGTTCTTCAGTTGTAGGAATACTGTTCTTGCTTTGTCAATCATCGCCTTTACGTCTGCATCCGATCCTCCTTGTTCATCGATCATGCTTCCCAGGTAGATCCGATCCAGAGAGAAACTAAAAGCAGTCGTCGAGATAACCTATTATGCTGCTAAACTGGTTGTAATTGAAAAGTCTAGCCCATGATTCCAAATAGACCTAGACAACCCACGAATGACTCCATTGCATTTACCAATTTACGTGTTTGTGCGAACATATACATAGGGAGGAGTAATCGAATAAACCAATTGAGGGTTATGGAACATGTGCTAGATGGCTTCAGAACCAGTTAATTTCAAATGTTCTGACAAAGGTGGGAAGTAGAAAACCATGTTCATCGATAGCAAAAATCATATAATTGAAACGGGGTATAGAGTTGATATCAATAAAGCTTTTAAAACGTATAGAAATTGTCAAGCACAAGTTCTCAAGTTTATAAAAGCCTTGGTTATTCGTAAATTCAAGCCCCTCTTATGTGTACAAAAAGATTTGTCGTGACCTTGAATTTACCCTAGCTTAGGGTAATGCGACAATTTCCTATTCTTTCTATACGATGTTAATTTTTTCTCTTCCCTTTATTGCTTTGTTTACTTGGACTTTCATTTAATTAAACCTTATTAATTATCACATAAAATATCCTAACAAGTATATGTGTGACCAGATTGTTCGAAATGTTTAATGCAAATACACCACATTTTTCAGATCAATTCCGTATTCTCATTGATCTGTCGAAATTTATAAAAGGAGTTAATTGCTTTAACACTGACCATCATCTGTGTATATTAAATTCAACCTACTCAATAAGACTTCCTTAAAACCTAATCAGTAGTCCTAGTCAGTTGTCCAGTTAATTCATCTTTCAAATTAAAAAAAAACTTTTGTTAGGCTATGAGTTTGATGAATTGCAGGTAATTACCTATCTTATGTTTATTTATCTCATAATTATAATATTTATTAATTGAAGTAAGGTTTGTGTAGCTGGTTAACAGTTTAATGTCGTTGTACTGAACATATAACTCTAGAATGTATGGATATTTGTTGTAACTCCATATTATGTATTAAATTATTTTTCCTACAATCTTATTATCTTCCTAAAACAATATTGTTATTTAGACATTGGATCATTTACTGTCACTTTGTCATGGTGATTTACGGCAAGGTATCACAATGTTACAGTGTGTTCATCAGTTAATTATATCCGTTGATGATTCCGATGTCGGTTGTCGTTCTTCGATTACCTCAAAAGAATTAGATGAGGCTGCAGCTGTTGTTCCGAGTGATATAATTAAAAATCTTATTAAAACATCAGAAAATGGTAGTTTCGATGATTTACAAATCATTATCAAAGTGAGTTTTTTAGGTATAGACCTGATTTTTATTTTTATTCAATAAATAATATTATTTATGTTATTGCTGTCGTGTTCTCTCTGCCCGAATAATGTGATTATTAAATTGTTCATTGTCGTTTTGTGAAACCTGAACAACATCTACATTATTTAAAAGATAGACTGTTGTGGATAGTCTTCAAAATAATTCCTAAGGTTTCGTATATCAATTGTCTTAATAAACGTTATTAAATAAATCCCAACAGTACGTAAATTTCATAAGACAATACAAAGCATCGAATACAGTACAACGCAGATCACTAAGTCACCACCATCATAAGCTGGTTCGATGGTTAGCCAAATTATTAGGACCAATTCGTAGAAAACTGGCGACCAATAGCTTAAAAGACGCATTTCAGTTTTCTAGAGAAATGGACCAATTGAATATATCAGATAAATACATGGTAACTTTTGATGTGTGTCCATTATTTACAAGTATACTACTAGAAGAAACTATTAATATAATTTGCGAACAGTCTGAGTTACTTCTTTTAATGTGTTTGTTGAATAGTGAATGAATGAAATTAGCCAGTGCTACCGAGTTTGATCCATTTACCCACTGTTTTTAACGATTGTTTTTAAATATTGAATGACCCCCAAGAAATTTGTCTTCACTTTTCCATACATGGCTTCAATCAACGACTTTATGGAATGATACCATATCTTTATCTACGAATCTCTACATTTTTCAAACCAACTATGGTATCCAGTATTGTAAGTTAGGGTAGGCAGTAATTTATCACACAGAGGTTGGGTTGTTTTTTTACAGTACTTAAGCTGCTACAATGTAAATTATGAAATAGACGCCTTTCGGTATATCGGCAAATGAATTACTACACCACACGTGAGTTAGAACACTTTGCCGTATGAAAAGAGAAGCAAATAGACTTATATAAAAAGTGTTTCTATCTCAAGTCGAGGTGAAAAATGTTATAAAACATCCCTGAACAAGTGGTGATTTAATGACTTTCTATTACAGAAGAAAAATAGTGCATTGAAAGTGAAAATTGAATTAACCAATAATAAAGGATGAAGTATGCAGCGTTTATAATCTATCACTTGCATTCAAATAAATATATCTTCTATCCACCCATTACAATAATTCTGCGTTTGATTTAATGCGATCAGTAACAAATAACGAGTGATAAGCATGGAAAAGAAGAAGAAATGATTAATTTAAAATTGCTAACCGAATATCGTGTTTACATTAATCAGTAAAATGGATCGATGGAAATATGAATAGAGAAATTATCCAAGAGAAGTTTAGTTACTTACAAGTAGTATAATTATATTACATAAATCTCATATGGGTCATCCAGATGTAATCTTACAAGACTGAGAAGTAATGCTTTAAAACACTCTTAATGGACCTAATTGTGAGGACGGTCCACAGTTGAACTCAAGGAAGCTCAAAAAAGCCAAAGATACTCCGTCCAATCATCTTTTGGAAGAACATTCCAGGATTTCGACGTGCGGATTAGATGACTGTAATGATGATTTCGTTGTTACTAAAAAACTATAAATACCTGATAATTTTGTGCCATATTTAACACTGTTGGAATAACATTCTGCTTCACTCGTCTTCTGTCGTCTCGTTTTGCGACTTGGAGGGTTCTGTCGTTCGAGTACTCAAGTAGTACACGGTATATTAAGAATCTATGCTCTAGATAATAACACTAATTTTGTGATACCTTAAAGAACTTGTTAGCAAATAACATTAAAGATTGATTGTGAAGTCCAACTGATTGCTATTTCACTTGGTACACAATTAAATCCGAACGTGTTTGGGTGATACTGAATAATTTATGGTTGGAATTGAGTTATGATGATACCTTGGTATACGTAATGCATATTCCATCCACATCAGTATGTACACATTTACAAACTCACTAGATGGATGGATATATATATGATTTTTACATAATAAATGCTATCTAAGTTTGCTAACGCAAGCCTGTACTTGATTACTAATCTCAATCAATCTTAATCATTATTCCAGCAACGCTCTACTTGAGATCAGTTTATGTTTTGGACGGTGAAAATTGTGAAAATATGCAAAATTCGTTTTTTCTTATTATAAAATCTATTCCCGTAACTAATTTCTTTCGCTAATATTGTTTTTAGAATTTATTATTGGAAGGTTATTCAGCACATCAGACCACTTATCAACTGCACGAACATATAATCAATGACGATAAACTATCCTGTATTCAAAAAGCATCTATTTTGGAATCTCTTGCTGTAAGTACTGTTTAAAAAGTAATTTGCTTTTTCGCATTTAGTCAGCAATCATTCATCGTATTGCATTTAATAATAAAACATGAATATTAGTCTGAAATTTGAATAATCTATTTCACTTCATATTTAAAATACATTTGAAGCTGATAAATCTCAGTGTTAGGACAACGTTCAATAAACAACTAGTTAAGATCATTGTCGATAAAACAAGCTGTTATTCATGTACGGAAAAATTTAGATAGCCCACATTATCTGGCATTTGTGCCAATGTGGTTGATGAAAGCTCATAATTAAACCTCCCAGCTTTTCGGACAAAATTCCATCAAAATATCAATAATCCTTATGATAAAATTGAGCCTTCCTATAGTTAGATTATTTTTATCATTTCTAAACTAAAAATCTCATCCCATATCATTCAGGTTAAAGGTTATGATGATTCGGGCAACTAATAATTTTTATGTTGAGGACGATAAGTAGACTGTATAGGAAAGAATCAATAGCTTTGTGGTTGGAAGAATTTCCTTTGAAATAATTAGTTGCAGGTTCAAATCATACTTCATCTAGTCTGATTTAAGGAATCGGTTAGTATCAGTAGCCCTTATATAAGGTATGTGGATCAACTAATCCCAACAACCTTATATAGACTGACACTTGTTAAATGAGTTTTGTCTTTCTCTCTGTAATGATTTTAAATAAAGGTTTGAGTCAACCGATCAAACAAGTACATAGCTGTCTGAACTAAGTATTATTTATTTAAACATAAACACTAGTACAAAAAGGCACCAAGCAGATATGCTTCACATCAATCATTCGGTTTATGTGAGGGCTAGAATACTTCCCAGTTGCCCAAACTAAAGCAGGTGGTATTCTTGGGGGCCACACCCTGAGCCTTTGACCTAAAGGTCTGATCCACAAGGTAGCGGAGCAACGTCAGAAGATGCAGTCCTATGGTAGCCGGTGACCAACAATTGGTTCACATACCGTTTGTTCTCTCAGGATACTGAAGCCCGTTTACACCATTGGTTTGGAATCAGGGTTTCCCAACTCCCCTAGGTGGACTCTCCATGTCCACCAACCCGGTTAAAGCGCCGGACATTCGCTTTTCGTCGTCCTCTCAATTTCGTAAACAACAGTAATGCCACAAGAATGCTGTGAGTATGACTTCCTTGGCAGTAGTTGTATACACGTGGACATATGAGAGCATTTCGAGAGGTAGAGCTGACTCTCCCCCACCTCCACCGTACCAGGGCATTTGCGGGCAATCAAAGTTATACAATATACCATGGATCTAAAGTTCGCCGGGTTGCAACTGTCAATAATTTTGATCCATTGCAGTATTGTGATCGAATGAGTCCTTTGTTTGAGGTATTCATTTTTTTAACCATTTTGAAGATGTGTATTCATGTCTGTGCCTGTATTTACCAGTGAAAACTGGTTGTGAAATGTATCTGTAAATGTTGGTGATTGTATTTTTTTGTGCATATGACAGACGAGACCAATCATGATAAAAACATGAACAGGTTGTACTTATGAACTCTGTAGCACTATTCGTCTTCCTGATAAGATATTTCACAATCCGAAAAATTTTGGCGAACAGAGTTCGAAATTTTCGATAATATGTGAACTGAGCCATGTTAATAGGTGTAGATCTACCTGGTTGGGGTCAGTGTGATTATTGTGACCAATGGCTAGAGACTTTGGGTGACATGGCTCACAATCGTTGCCCTCCTAAGTTTCTAAATTCCTCATAAATTTATCTTATTAGTTCACTAATTTATCTCAACTCGTATTTTCGATGCCTAATGTTTTCTACCAGCATTAATGATGTTACTACCTCTACTATTTTGGGATTTGCTCCGACGATTTCATCTCATTGTGCTAATGGGATATGGCAACTTAAACTGACGTACATACGCACCAGGTCGTAGGCTGCTTATGATTGACTGTCCTCACATGTGATCTATGCTTAGTGTTTTAACGTCAGACCATGTCACATTTTTCTAGTATTTACGTCACGAAAATATTGGAGTTTTAGTTGACGGTCGGACCCTGTCTTGATATTTAGTCCGTGAATTATGAGGAAGGATAAAATGCTATTGGTACAAATGTTTTTTTGTTGAAAATTGACCTGTTTCCATTGTTAAAAACATGTTTCTATTATTTTAAAGTTTTTATTGTCTTATAAAGTATATATTTGAATGTACGTGTGTGTATGTGACTGATGAAAATGGTGCTGAGTTTTAGTCTGTTCTGTTGACTTTTTTGTCTTCATTGAACGATCATTGAAATGAATATCGGAGCAACATTCTGAGTCACTTTAATTCGTTTAATTTTTTCCTAACATAAATTTTATGTAATGAATTAAAAAAGGTCGATGTCTTCATTCGTTATGTTTTTCTATCTAATATATTTATATATAAATTCAGAAGAAATTATAGGTATATGTATGTAGTTAAAAAATTATTCAGTTGTCAGGGAGAGAGTTAAGTTGTATATGATATATTTTTCTTTCGTTGAAAACAGAGTAAAAAATAGGTCTGAAGGCGAAACCGTACTGCTGACTGTACAGAGGTGTGACAGCAGTAAGGTGTTTCCTTCAGACAACCAGCATGACAGCGATGCTGCCTTCCCACAAGGAGGTGTGAGGTTAGAAAAGGTCGACCATAAAAATGCACATCTCGCCTTATCCCACGGATATCCGTCTCCGGTGGTAAGGTCTCAACAAGTACAGAGCTAACATAAAATTACCCATAAAAAGGTTGTATGTGACCGACCTTAGGCAGTTGTCCCTTGGGCACTGCGGTCACGCTCTCAAGTCACCAAAACCACCTCTAATCCAATTTCCTTTTCAGGTACCTCCAGAAGAACCCTTCGATGGTGTACCTCAGGCGCACCTCAGAAGTACATAAACCTTGTGAAGGCTCTTTACTCGAATACTACTAGTCGAGTTAGAGCTTATGGCGAACTGTCATCTGCTTTTGCAAACTCAAGTGGTGTCCGTCAAGGCTGTCCACTTTCTCCATTTCTGTTTAACTTCATCATAGACCTACTGAATTCTCGGGCATTGACCTCCTTTCAGGAGATCTACTTGTAGACTTAGAATACACAGATGACATAGTCCAGTTTGGTGAAGACGATGATAAAATGCAGAGTCTTTTGATAGCACTGAGCAACAATGCCAGAATGTTTAGGATGCGCTTCTCTCCCTCTAAATGCAAGCTACTGCTCAACGACTGGTCTGCGTCAACACCTGAACTAAGGATAGGGAGTGAAGTAGTCGAACGCGTTGACAACTTCACTTATCTTGGAAGTCTGATCAGCCCTGATGGGTTGGTGTCTGACGAAATCTCAGCACGTATTCGTAAAGCTCGTTTGGCTTTTGCCACCTTGTGTCACCTATGGCGAAGGCGAGACATCTGGACGAGTATACTGTACGACAGTTCGTTCTGGTTTACTTTACGGCTGCGAAACGTGGCCATTAAGAGTAGAAGATACTCGTAAACCACTAGTATTTGATCACAAATGTCTTAGAAATATTGTTCGCACCTGCTGGGATCACCGAGTAAGTAATAGTGAGGTTAAACATAGGGCATTGGGAAGTGATGGTAAATCAGTTGATGAGGTTTTGAATCTTCGTTGACTGAGATGGTTGGGCCACGTGTTACGTAGTAAACATTGTAGAATTTTCATAGCTTTTTCCACGAACTAATCTTAACTAAAGCATTATCAGAAACCTTGAAGGACTTGAAGTCCATTTCCTTCTAGTATGAGAATCTTCAGCAGTGCTCATTTACGATCCTACACTCGTGAATCGGTCCGAGAACCTTCAGTCTGGCGCGTGAATGCTTAGACTTTAAACCACTGAGTCAGGGTCCATCGGCCTCAATGCTGAACTTCAATTAGACAATGATCTTGCTCAACTCTTCATCTATTGTCTGCGTCGGATAACTGACTCACATCTGATATGGCTGAGCTCCACTGGTTACGGCTTCTCACTACATCTTGAAGCTAGTTACTAGTAGGCACAAAATTCTTATGAGTATAGGGAGTTTGGTTTAAGACGAAACGACCGTATGTTACTTCCAGGTTTTCAACGATGATCTAGCTGCAATCAGTTCTTGACTTTAACTACTAAAACTAATTATTTTCTGAAAACAATTACAGAATTTATGACCAATTTGACACATACAAAAATCTAACATATAAAGGATAAGTGATATAATTTAGTTGTTTGTAAAGACTAGGATTCATAACATATTTTAAAGTGACATTTATCACAGCGGATCATAAAAATTATTTTGATTCTTGATCATTTTCAATTTTGTTCAGTCTATAACGAATATTTTATTGACATTATTTTAGAATTAGAGAACTTACCAACACTGTTTTTAATTGTTATTCTTTTGTTAAAAAAGTTATTTATTTATTTCTTTTTTGTTAAAAAAACTGTCTTTAGGTTGCTGATTCTCGACTAATTGATGGAGCTGATGAATATTTACAACTTCTAGCCGTCGGAGGGACTCTACTTAAAACTATCCAATCAAATTAAAAGATGTATTTATCTTTATATAATGCTCTTTTTCTTTTTAAAAAAAGAATTTAACAAGTACTGTATGATAATGAATAAATATTTCAGAAATACTATCACTTATAACTTTAACAATCGGTTTTGTTTAGCTTATAGCTTTTGCACCATGTGATTTGTTTAAGTAATAGAAATTACATGTGTTAACATTTTATAGACAGTTTTCAGGGCTGTACACCACATATTGCTTAGTGATGTTCCGTTATCTGGATTGTATAAACAACATACTTTTTAAAGCATAGTCTGAGTCATTCTATTATAAGCAGCGTTTGGCATGACACATATGCTTCATTTCAATTCCTTACTTCATATCTGCACAGAGAGATAAGATTGCCAAGATAAAATCCCAGAGCTGTAGAAGTAGTAACAATGTCAGCGTCTAGAGGAAGATGAAGAGTGAATCTATTCAGGGTATTGTGACTGATTCTAAGCCATATTACCCAACGTCTCCAACTATTTGTTACAATAATCTGCACCTGTGACCATGGCTGTCTAAAAGTAGATAAAAGCAAGTATAAGCTGCAAAGGTTACCGAAACACTCATCAGATTTACCAGACATGACTAGACTCCAAATATTCGATCCTAGGTAACTTTGGGGAGTGGTGGTGCTAATGTTCGAAATAGATAAGTGCTAAGAAATGGTGACAAAACCTTATCGATTTAGATGTCTAGAACTTGTGATTTAATTACAGAATTGCTATGCGGTTTGACCTGTTAATTTACTAGCGTAGTAGTTGAATAGAAAAAGACTAGGGATGGTCAGAATTAGACATAAAATAGGTCCTTAACAGTTGGTTTTAGCTGTCTAGGGATATTCTTCATACTAGACGCCATCATTGATGCAGTCCCACAAAAATGAGGCTCGTCGGTTACTTATTACTGGTAATTTCTCTTGTTTCCAAATGTGAGAATACAGGCAATTTTGAAATAACTGAAACGAGTAAAATCAGCTAGTTGCAGTATTATTTCCCATTGTGGTGAACTGAAACACAGAATACCAAATAACTGAACGCAGTGTCCAAATTTCACGCATGTATGAACGAAATACAGCACTCAAGTTACAGACAAGAAGAACGATAGATGGAAATGAATTGTTGAGTGAGTACAACTTAATCAATGACAGAATAGTACAGGAAATTTCAACCATTTTCAGGATACATTTCACTTTACTGAGGCATTTACAATCACACAAACTTAACACTCGAACTTTATATAGTTTTGGTAATGTCTAGTGTCAACCATTCATTCATTTTTCAAGTCAATTACTTTTGTATCTTATATGCTAATGAGCGCTTTCCTCTGTATTATCAAGTGTTGTTTAATATGCTTTCATTCTGACCATTATGATTTTTCAAATATTATAATTGACTTCGTTTCTTAAATGTTCAGCAGTTAAATGATGTAGTATGATAATGATCTATGGACAAGGGATATTCACAAAGGAAAACTTCATTGTAATTACTATCAGATTGCCAGTCTAAAATGTTGAAGTACAATAAGTTAGATTCATTCTTCTTTCTAAAAAAGGTAAAAGTATATCTAACTGACGAACTTTAAATGACCCTGAAAAAGTAAAGGCAATCAGGATGCAAGTAATTTGAGTGAGTAGTTCACTACTGATGTGAACAGAGAAACAAGAAGCTATGACAAACTACGGAAGCTATTTTTGGGGCCGTTACTTCATTTAATTCAAAGCTTGTAAAAAAAGTAACATTCATTCTTTTCCCTAGTTTATTCTAGACCATAAGCTTTCGCTTGATGTGTGGTTCACTGCCATAGCCTTATCTGTTCCAAAGCTATTGCAATTTAAACACAATCATTTATTCTCTATTTTCTATCCCAATCCCCAGTTTTGGACGTAATTGTATTTTCCTAGTTGTTTGTACATTGTGGTCTTGTTAAACATCTATTTATTCATGTACCTTTTTACACTAATCTGAATCTGAACGAGATCAGAATTGGGAATAAATCGAGTAATGTTCCAGTTATCTCGCCTTCTCTTTCGAGGCCGCTTATCACCCAATCAATTGATAGAATAGTTTTCGTCTCTCTACCCCAAGCAGTTATTCTCACTTCGAATCTGCGCATACTAGTATCAAAGTTAAACCACTCAGCTTGTCACATCAAGGTCTTAATCTAGATTGAGACAAGTTATCAGTGGGTAGACAAATCAAGGACTTAACAACTACATATAAACGAAAACAAGGCTAGAATTAGGAGTTGGAGTCACAGTGGGGAACTGTCTCATAGTTATACTTACACTGATAGTTTTTCGATTTCAAATCTCAAAAACCTTTAAGTCACCTTGGGGAATTCACAAATCACGTGGAAACTTTGTATACATATTAACCATATGTATATCTTACTATTTTCTTCGCGAAAAATTGTCACGTCTTAATAACTATTAGCTCTTATTAAGATATACACTAATCATCACATTTTGAATTCCGTGCAAAATTCCAATAACCGCTATGATGAATCCCACTGATTCATCAGTGAAGTATACTTTCTTCAACGATTAGTTTAAAAAAATACAACAGTATTATTGGGATATAAAAAGAACGACCTCATGGATATATCATCTCCAGTGATCTTTCGCAAACGTGATATATATATATATATATATATATATATGGTGTATGTTACTTATGTTGATAGATATAAGTAGTATGTGGCACCAATCGGAAGTGAAATACCTGCAAACAGAAGATTGAAATGAAAAGAAGTAAGAAAGAAAACTGAGAGCAATCAAAATAATAATAGGAATGAAGGAATAATGGGGTTTGTAAAAGACAACTAATGGAAGATGTGCAAATAATGTATTGAATGTATGATTTTTTTTTGTATTTTACTAAAGCACTCTGTAGTTTTTTCAGAAAATAATAAATTGGTCTTCTCTATCTGTGTTCTTTATTCGTTATTGGCAACTTGCAAAAGACAACATTCAGTAATAAAAACAAATTTTATTTGATGAATATACGTATACATGATATATGAAATTACTGTATTGAAGAAGGTAACAATCGACAACAACAGGGTAAAACAGTAATAATAAATAATAATAATCAGTGAATAAATACTTTTACAAATAAACAGTAAGAACAAGTGAATTATTAATTGAAATAGATGAATATCATTGCGTCATTGTCATCTATGAATTGATGCCAGATAATACTGCTGCCACTTATACATACAGATAGATAGAAAGAGAACAAAGCACTATCTGTTCATCATTCTGCTGTATTTACTTATTTACAATAATAATAATAATAGTAATATATGATTTATGAATTGATTGATTAGGCTAAATGCTCTATGTTGTGGAAAAAAAAAGAAAGTCAAATGAGAAACTGATGTAAGTTTACATACATTGAATGATAAATATCACCGGAAAGAAATATAAATATATAGAATGAAGAAGAGTGTACTGTTTCAATGGAGAGAGAGAGAGAGGTGATAACTTAAATTAAGAGTATCAAGTTTAAATAAGTCAGCATAAAATATATGTATAGAAATAAATCTGTGTCTATGTGTAGATTCCGGATTGTTATCCAACTAAATAATGTCATCAACAACAATTCTTTAAAGATTCTAATCGTGCAACTAATTTTAGTGCTGGCCCTATTTTCATACCAATCGGTGGTTGAATAAATTGATCTTCAGCTAATAATAATAATGCTTCACCATCTATTTCATTATTTAAAAATGCCGATGCATATGCTCCACAACCAGGTGTACCACGAACAAATGCAACAACATCATCAGGAGTCCATTTATATATTGGACCTTTCGGTGGTGGATTAGGTGTTAATAGTCCAGGTGATGGTGTAATTGTTTGAGATATACCATACATTGCTTGAGCAATACTTGGTGTTCGTTGTTGACATGTAGATTGATTGAATGCAGTGGAAGTTAATCCAGTCATAATCTGTTAAAATAGAATTAAGTAAAAAAAGATCAACAAAATACTAATATTAAACTTGAATAACAACCTATGTATGTAACTCTATAATCCTATATACATAATAACTTTTGCCCTATTAATATATAACGTAATGATATCGCCAATTATTGAACAGTGACTTATCGACCAAATCAATGACGCATAAACTCGTACGAGCAGTCTAGAGTCCCTAACGGTCATTCTTACTGCCTAGCCTTGACTGTTGAGTCCAGAACACCAATAGCAGCTTCTACTATACGAATCATTTATTTCAAACATACTGGGTTTATATACAAACCGAACAGACTACATCGCACTACAAAATAGAAAACAACATTTGTGCAAGATCTAGCCAAAAGTGGCTGTGAATGTGAAAGAATGTAGCTAATAGACTGGGCATAACTCAAGAACGGTATAATAATAGTCTATGGGTCAAAATAAAGCTTGTAATAATAGGCACATGAATATGCATAGTTTAGCTTCTTAACAATTATACAATAAAAACATGGATAGTATTGGTCCATAAATAGATCCAAACAGTTACCATCCAATATTCTCGTCGGGATAGTATATATAATACTTATTATTTGTGCTCATTAAATGTCACTGGGTTTAAGTGTGAATCTGTGTTACTGGGGCAACAGAGTTAAAGATAATATGAAAAGATGTTTATGTACTACTCTGGCCTTACTTTTTCCTGGGAAAGTTTCCTGAATACAGTCAATCATTCTCACTTTGTATAAAATTTACAAAGAAAACATAGATATATGATAATTGGCATGTCACATCTACAGTATTTAAATGGTCAATTCGAATTTCTTTAGGATATAAGAACTGTGGTTAATATTTGTATCTACGGTTCACGACTCATCAAACAGATGTACTCCAAGGTTAACGTTCACATTTGGATTCGAATGCAGCAACTTCGTTTCAAATCTTAATGCACTATCTACTTAGCTAATAAATCGAGATAGCAACTCGTTTCACAGTTACGTTGTCACATATGGAACATAAATAATCATGTTCACTTATTTTCGAACTATCCGGTAAGAGAAAAATCCTCAAATACTGAACTCCCCAGTATTTCAAACCGAACACATCTTTATTAAATC